AAATCCGCGTTGAGACTAAATAAATAATCGCAAAGAAGTAATCTGACGAAAGCTCACAATGAGCGATCTTCTCCTATTTGTGAATGGAATCCACTGAGGCCGTTAGTAGGATTTGAATACAAAGATTACTAAACAAAATACTCCTGAACACTCCCTATTAATGGGGGAAATGGGTCAACAAATACCTGAACAACTTCACGTATACTGTCCTTACTCAATCTTATGAATCATTTGATATATTATGCGCCGAAAAAAATAGAAGTTAGTAAAAATGTTAAGAAGATACACCCAGTGATGCAGAGTGATGCGCAAAACTTTTGCGTGAGGCTGGACTCGAACCCACATATCACTCTATCCGGGAGCGCTTGTTCTAATCCGTTGCACTACGGACTCCCGTTTTGCCATCATTCCTTCTGTGCTACAACGCATTTATCTGTCAGCAACCGACCGTCAACGGTTGGTCCGAGTGGTCAGTATCGATATTGAACCCAGTTACGCTGAGAGATACTGGGTACTGGATGATCAAATGGAATTCTTTCTATTTGACCGCTTTTAGCAGTGGTATGATGTTCTAGAAATACCCAGCGATGTAGAGTGAGCACGTGCTCCTGGACAGAGTGAGATGTGGGTTGGAGTCCCGTCTGACGCAAACGTTTTGCACATTACTCTACATCACTGGGTATATCTAGAACATCACACCATCGCTAAAAGCGGCTACAAAAAGAATCCGGTTAAGAAGATAGTTTTTCGAAGAGTAATTCAATAATCCGAAAGGAACCTCAATACAACGATAGTAAATCATGAAACAGACACAGAGAACCAAATGATTCGCTGAAAACTCAAAAAAGATGCAAAAGTGCACAAAAGAATACCTCCAATTTATCCTCGTCGGCAGCATCCACCATAAATACGATAGCATTCACCCCACGGCAGTATCGCTCCCACATTGATCGGAACCTCGGTTGACCGCCAATGTCCCATAACTAAAAAAAACATTTCTAATATCAAAACATATGTGAAATTACAAATTCAGGCATGCAATTTCACAATCAATAATGTAGCGTGAAAAGATGTAGACCGCTAAGTCTATGGCACCCAGTGAGGAAGTTTTACGCTGATTTGCAATAATCTCTTGTTCGGAGTCGATTCCTTCATAAGTAAGGTGTATTCTCAAGAGATCGGCTGAACCGAAGCGGCACTGTGCACTGAAGAGTCTGTAAGGGGGAAACGGGCCCGTCTGGTATTGTATAAGTGCCCTAGCAGACCTCACAAAAGGCTCAAAACACATGTGTTCTGTTATATATGAAAAGATCCTAACTAACATGCAGAACATTCGACCCCAGGTGGGAATTGAACCCGAGTTTCACCTATACCGCAAGCGCGTGCTGCCAGTACACCAGCAAGGTTACCGCTCAGCTAGCTTTCGATATAAAGCATCGAAACTATCACTAGCGAACCTTCGATGGGTGTGATCTGGCGAACATATTTCAACACTTTGAAGAAAGAGTGGCAGCAACGCGAAGGTCTTGCTCATGAAGTGGTAGTATGCCCCCTCCCCCCTCAGTATGCAGGTGAAACACGGGTCTAACTTCCATATAGGGCCGAAGTCCTTACATATCGCTCAGGATCCTTGTATATACGTAATAGTAAAATTATAAATAGCACTGCTGGCAGAGAAGTAAAATAGAGCATTCTTATAGGTTATATCATGTGTACTTTATTCGACTTCAAGTAATGTGAGATAAACAATAAATATTAGAGTGGGAATATCATAAATACTCTTAAGAGACTTGATTATTTGAATGTTAAAAAACACAAGTTGAATAACCTCATTTAGAACATCAAAGTTATATGTAAACAAACTAGTCGAAATGCAAACGAACACTTGCATCAAGACTTTTTCCAAACAAAAAAAAAAATGGTGTCAAAAGGCTAAAAAAATCCTCCATCCTTGATACGCATATTTTAATTCGATGTGTGTTTAAAATTAGGAATAATGTATGAGAACATCTATCCTTTCTGAATTTACATTGATTCATAAATAAATTAATGTGGCAAAAGAACACATTAGGAAAAAAGGACACACCTTGATGGTCACGTTTCCTTTAGTGATTTTTCTCATATTAAAGCCAACGGTCGGTATCATGTCCTCTGTGAACTGTCCACTCTAAATGTCAGTAGACACTTGACAATTTTATTACTCAATATGTGCAAATTTAACGTGCTGTGCAAATTCTATTACTTTTTCTCTTCACCATCCTTAAAGTGCCTAGGTTTCTTTGACCCCTTCTTGCCTTCTGTTTCTATCACGGTCACCGCTTCATCCCGTTTCTTTTTATTTCCATGTTTGTCGACTTTACCTGGCCTGGCCAAATCCTGGTCTTTCCTATCCTTTCTCTCTCTCTTCTTTGGCACTAATAGGAAAGAGGAAGAAATACCTAAGGACTTATAGGAAAATGAAGACAAAATGAGAAAGAAGAACGTCAAACTGGTAGTGCATTAAATACAATTCTATCAGTCCTAAAACAAAATCTCACAAAAAGAAGATTTCAAATAGACAAGAAGCCATGAATATCTTGGATATATGCGAAAAAATGCTTCATCAAAGCTAGGAAATGAAAGCACCATGGAAATAACATTCATCTCTGGACGAATTAAGATCGATACTTGTTCATTATAAGGCGACAAATGAATATTCGACCCCATATTCGCTGGACAAGAAATTTTCATAGGAGTATTAGTAATCATTCGAAAACCTACATCTCTGACTAGCGCGGTACGTGTCCGGTTTTTCAAGAAACAAAACTTTTTGATTTAATATAGAAGGAAAACCTATGCCTTTCACACATGTACTTTCTCGTAAGACAGAGTTCTTTCTTCAGACTACTAGTATTCATTCGACAGCGTAGGATCCAAGAACACCAACGCTGTGCTTATTTTCGGAAAGAGCGTTTCACTGCAGTGTAGCAGAGGAAATAAGACGAAGTTTCACACACTCGGTTTGCTTGTTTACAAGCTAATTCACGGTCGGGGGGTCTGGAGGCCGCGGATTCGATACAGCGGCCGCCACGAGCAATCGACTGGCTTTTCGGAGGAGTGCGATTTTTGCCATTCGATAAAAATTTTCTTCTCCTCTCTGAAAGGAACTCCGGATCAAACGTATGACCCTGATACTAAAAGATTTTCTTTATACGTTCATACGCTTTTCGTGCTTCCAGCGAAGTGATAGTGGAATTGTGCAGTCGATGTGATACATGATTTTATTCTCATTTTCACGACGTCACAAGAGGGTCTTCTGAAATAACCGGCCACGTAAGGCTCCAGCTAGAGATAAAAGATTTAAATGATTACTAACACTTCTATGAAAAGTTGTTTTCCAGCGAATGCGGCGAATATTCATTCGACACCTTACAATGGACAAGAACCGTAAAATTAATACTTGTGTTTAAAGAAGAACCAATGTGGCAGTGACTCATAAAAATGAACTGCCTTTTCGATGAGGTTACCCACGAGGGCTTCCAACATTATTGAGACAGAAGCCTTATGCTCATTAAGATAAAAATCTATAGAAACAGCAAGAAAGAAACGATAACGAAATGAACTGACCGCAATAACATTGACGAATGTTGTCTTTCCAGAGTTTTGTAAACCAACAAGAGTTAGCTCCATTTCTTCTTTCCAGAAGAGACTCCGGAACCATTCGAGGACCCGATTTATCATCGCAAACATCGTCGATCCGGTTGCGAACAGTGATTATGCCCTACTTCAAATGAGAAATAATAAAAACACGATTTCATTCTACAGAAATTCGTAAGTGAGAGAGAGACGACTAACGACACTAACCGAGTCATATTCGCCTATAAAATAACGAAAGGCTCAACTAGAGTCCAACTGAATAGCTACGACATGAGCTTAGTGACGATTCCATAGATCCCTAGGGTCAATAAGGGGCGAGCAGATCAGTTTTATCAAAAAAGTATTAGGACAGAAGACCGGGTAGCGCAACTGGTTAGCACGTGCATTCGCAAAGGGTGAGATACGTGCTCAACTCCCTCCTAAGGTTCAACGTTCTACAAACCACTCAATATCATTGGATGTACATCTGTAACTTTGACTTTGATTCTAAGAATTTTTATGTTTTACTGCTTTTTTGCAATATTATGGTGTTTCAAATATTCCTAGGCGAATGAGTGGTAAGCAAAATTGCGACTTTAGGCAGGAGTTGAACCCGCATTTCATCCACTGCGGGGCGCGTGCTAGCACTAACCACAGAGACCACCGCTTACTCATCACTTATTCTCCAATTTTCAATTCTCTAGAAATATTTGAAACTTCAGTTTTGACTTTCATCTACTTTGCACTCAGAAAACTTTTATTTGACCGTTGGTGGAGAGTCGTGGTTACATCAACATCTAGAATCTTTCCCAAAATGATTTCTTTAAATAGGAAATTACGAGAGAAGGCTCAAGGTTGAGGTTAGGGTTAGGCTTAGACTTAGGCTCAAAACTTGTTGAGAACACAACTCTCCACTAAGGTCTCTCATTTTCATGCTTCCATTTACTGGCTTTATGATTTTTTTGAACAAAATAAATTGGACTTCCAGCCGCTTGTCAAAATGCGATGAAGAAATGAATGGCTTCTCTAGCGGAAGAGATTAACGAAATTGACTTCAAAACGACGCAATCCTTTTGCTTTCCCCTCGGTTTTCCTCAAAATCTCCATTATCTAAATCGCTCTAACCTTCTAATCCACCTTAGAAGTTCCTACGTTTTCCATGAGCATAGTTTCTTCATGCAATTTACAACCATTACGCGTAGTTTAACCAAGTTTACTAAACTTTAAAGTGTTATTAATGACAGCAGCGGGGCACTCGTTCGATCTGGACCCAGAAAAAGTCAGATACAAATGAATACTAAAACAAAAACAACGTCGAATTCATGCATAGGATATGATCACAAAGACGTCCCAAACAAAATATTAACATTCCGGTTGACGCACCAGCGTCGGTAGTGCAACGATCAGCACGCGCTCCCGGAGAGAGTGAGATCTGAGTTCGAATCCCGGTTGATGTAAATGTTTTTGCACAGCATTCTACAATATTGGGAATACTACAAAGTGCCAAACTGTTGAAAAATCATAAACAAAAGACCGACAATATCCCTTAGACCACGTTAAACATATCGTTCAAAGGCGGATAAGCTCGGTGGTTAGCGATGCATCGTATCAGAGAGCGAGGGTTTAATCCCCTCCCACAAATGCTCTCTTGCAATCAATCAACGAACGTTCTAAGGAACGCCTTAGCCCGGCTACCTCCACGATTACGAAGACGATCGTCTCGACCAGCATTCTACGACTTCCTGAGAAAGACTGAGTCCTAAAGCAGCAGTTGAATCAACACGGGAAATATTCTAAGGTCTTTGTCGATTGATTAACGCGAGGAGACAACTCGTATCCAGGAAGTGATGAGAAGGCGATCTGCTAGATGACGAGCCGTGTGAAAATCAGAAAACAAACCTAATAGATGTTGCCAAATGGTTCATATCGAGCACTTCATAAGGGGCAATCTATAGCGAAATGGCGAGATGCACCTCATCATTCGGTGACATAAATCGATTTCCTCGAACTCTAACCGCCACATCCGGTTATTCTCCTCCGTTTAGTGCAGATCAGATGGCAGATGTTAACAGCTAAATAAAGAGCAAAATCGATGCAACATACTTGCTTTTCATTTCTTTTACATTAGAGAGAAGAACGGTATTATTCTTATAACCTTAGAGTCATATAAATTGAGAGACCGACTCTTATCAAATTATCCAATACCTGATATTTGTCAGCGAGATCGACTACCTGGGCAGCCGCTAACGGTTGGTTGCTGACAGATAGATGCGTTGTAGCGTAGGAGTGATGGCAAAACGGGGCGTCAGTAGTGTAATGGGTTAGAATATGCGCTCCTGGATAAAGTTAGGTGCGAGTTCGAGGCCCGACTGACGCAAAAACTTTGCACATCACCACACATCCTGCTTACGTACGTGAGCAGGATGAACGTTCACATGGCGTTCTTGAACGCGCAGTCGAAAGGTCGATGCTAGAAATATCCCGTTTCTCGCAAATTAGAGAAGCGATACGAAGTTCCGACCTACGTCAACAATCAAAGATCAAAGACGCCGTTCTACACGCCAGGATATCGAAAATAAGTTGGGCCGGACACGTGATACGCTTCAACGACAACCGATGGACGAGAGCCGTTACCGACTGATTTCTCGGGACACCGAGCGCTCTACAGGAAGACCACTGACCCGTTGGTCCGATTTCTTCACGAAAGCGATAAAAGAAAGATATGATGCTCAGCAAATCCCTAAATCGAGGAGGACCCACTGGGCTGCTCTTGCGCGCGACAGGGAAAAATGGAAGTGTTGCTAGTACCCGCTCGAGTCACTCGACGATCAACGAGACGACAGGTGATCTAGGTGATCACTCTACATCACTGCGTAGACTGACTTTTAGTAAATCTCTGAAACTCGTGAACTATAAAATGAATTATGACTGAATGATTACATAAACCGTAAGACAACACATGGCAATTTTCCCCACAGAAGTAGTTGCTGAACGGCTCTAAGGAAGGCGATGTCGCCGAAACGTCAGCCATCGATTTTGAAAAAGATATATCGACCTCGAGCATTTTATAAAAATGGACAGATCGTAAAATAGGCAGCAAACTTATAATTTTGCCGTAAATGATTTGACACTTTCGGGAAGGTGGACCCACGGCTTCTGCATCTCTAACAAAGAATTCTAGAAGGTCTGCCCACCTCCTCTGCATCTCTAAATCCCAGCGTGCTGCATCTAATAGCACTCTGCTGAGTATAACAACGCTGGCTGCTGCGTCTAACAATGGCGCGCTGAGGGTTAGAGATAGAGAGGAATGGAACAGATCGTCCAGAGTTGACAGTAAGAGACGCAGAAGCCGTGGGTTCACGAATCCAGGAGGGTTAGAAGGGGAATTGTGGTCGGCGGCTTGTGATTCACGTTAATGCGTAGCGCGGCCCGAAGCCTTACGAATCGAAGGACCGACTCTAACTAATCCTCTGGAAAATGTGAATTACTTCCGATCTGTTCTTCTTTGTTAACTTGCACGGAGTTGGTATGTCCTCTTCAGTGTAAAGCTAAGAAATGAATATTGATTAAATGATATTTGTAACATCAAACTCACTTCGAAAAGTGATAAATCAAAAAGAATTTCAGGCGATGATACATATATTCAATATCTGCCAGTGTGACTGGCTTCAGTGCCGATACCGGCTTGCCAGGCCAAATCGCTGACGCTTGCTTGTTTACGAGTCGACAAAATGCGTCGATGGAGTGATGGCAGGACGGAGCACCGGTAGTGCAAGTTTAGCACGCGCCCCGGAAAGGGTGAAGTGCAGGTTCGAATCCCGCCCGACGTCGAAGTTTTGTACACCTCTCAACATTGTATATATATATATATATATATATATATATATATGTGCGTATATATATGTATACATATATATATATATATATATATATATATCCGTAACATCATACCAAAGCGCGGTTCATTGGAAAGAACTGTAATTGATTAATAATTATTTGAAATGTGCGACAACACATGGGGACTTTTTCCATAGAAGTTAATAGACAGCTCTGAGGAAGGAATGTCGCCGAAACGCAGGAGCCAACAATTTTGAAGAATATATAGCGACCTCGCGCAAGCTTATAAGACTGAACAGCTCGTACGATAGCTAGCAGCCTTATATTTTTGCCGTAAATGACTTAGCATATTAGAAGAGAATCCGCGACCGAGTGGTTGGGATGTTCACTGCGCCGCAGCGGGGGCTGATCTCCACCCCCTAACACTCGCCGGCAGTGAACAACGAACGCCTGATGGTGCGGCCAGGCTGGGGTAAAAATTTATCTAATCATCAGAATCCCTTAAATTCGACTGCTTTTCGAGATCTCGCTAAAATAAATACATCCCGACATCATATTCTGAGTCCTTCATAAGGTCTGCTACGGCACTTATTCAATACAAAAAGCGCACTTCGGCCTTGACGCCTCGTCGATTGCATAGCGCCTCTCAATCGTGCCAATCCTTCTCGAGAACCTCCTAACATGAAGGAATCGCGCCGAACACGTGTACTGTTTGTAAAGTGAAAACACTTGATCCACGGGTAAGATATCACCGCATGCTCAGTGACAATGATTACCGAAGATTGTGGTGATTAACAGTCGATTGCTCAGTTTTTAATAGTAATACCTTAAACAACTACAAAGCGTCTCTGGTGACCGGTGATCATGTCACTGCGCATACAATAATAAGCTACCTGTGTGTGGAGTGAATTCTCACTTTACACACCGTGTAAGGTGTTCGTCGACGATTCCTCTAAGGTTCTCCCCCGAGAGGGATTGGCACAGACAAGGCTGCAAGGTCGAAACACTTGAATTGCACTGTATACGTGCAGTTATAGATCTCATCAAGCGCCTAAAATATGCTGTCAGAATGCATTAGAATCCTGTCATCAAAGTGCTGTATCAACGCAGATATAACTCTAACCAAGGAAAAATACTACGAAGTACGAATTTCAGTGATAAAGTTCTTTAGATCTTATCAAGATAAGTGAGCAACATCGTTATCAGATAGGTTTTGATATCCAGTTATTGACAATACAATAAGTCACGTCACAGGTTATTACCCTTTTGCGAACGCGGTGCATAGAATGCACGACTTTCTAGAAGCCTTTTTCGCTAAACAAACATCTTTACTAGAAATTTTGCTAACCATTCCGAAACTTAAATCACGGTGATTCAAACGATGCACTTATTTCCTAAAAATGCCTTCTTAATGAGCTGCAGTAGCGAAAATAAGCTTATGTTTCACAATCAGAGTTCTTTCTCTGCACGGTTAGAGTCTGTGAATGGCTTTCCACTGGACTATACAGATACTCATTTGATAGCAGTAATCTCGGAAATCCGAAGTGAGGTTGGGTCGTAGATCACTTGAATTTCAGGATACCATAAAACTGCGGACGGAATTCCGACCTCTAGGAAATTGTGACGCAACAGGAGGGAGCGTTTACACTTCCGCGCTAGGAAGCCTAATTTCATGTCGGATACGGTCCCTGCGCTATTTTACGACAGTAAAACGATATTATTTCAATATTTCGAAAACCTTACCAGTTAAGAATGTCACAGATTCTTAGCAGAGACTTTACTACATTGCTATAAATGGTATATATGCTAAGACTGTGGGCAGTGTTCGAAGGATTGTGATGCACGGCGTGGCGTGACGCGGGACTGATCCCTCCTCACCGGCAATCAACAACGAACGTCTCTTGTCCCAGCCTGGCTATCCTCGAGGATAGCAAAGAGACTACTTAACCAGTATTCTACTATGTTCATAAAGAAGACAAAACGAATTGAATGCTAGAAGTACTGGAGTCCGTACAGTAAAAAAAAAAAACTGAAAAAATAGAGGAAGTAGAGAAAAGGCTGATATTTAATATATGGTATTGTGATCCTATATACAAACACATTGCCAAGAGTACGGAGTAGTATAGAAGACATATGACCCCCGCCCCCGCAGAAATTAAACTTGCGTTTCACCCATATCGAGGTGCGTGCTACCTCTATACCACTAAGGATTTTACGAGAGTAAAACGAACTATTTTAATAATTCGAAGACCTTGCTTTGCTAGCGCTCTTCGATATATCATAGCGTAACTGCACCAACCAATCTTCAATGGGTATGGGTGGAACACAGGTTCAGCTTCGGCCTAGCATCGAATATTTTGTATATCTTTCAATACTTTCAAGCATATATACATTTGCATTTGTATGTATATACATATATATGTATGTATGTATGTATATATAATATATTTATATATACATATGTCACAGCGGTTCCTTGTCGTTATGAAGAGGCAAATGATAATCGATTTTATTCGCTGGAGAGGAACATTTCATAGCAATGTTAGTAACCATTCGAAAGCTGAGATTCCAGGCTACAGCCCACGTCGCTGGTTCTCGACAAAGCCTTTTTTATGGCGTT